AATATTCAAGTAATTAGCAAACTTTTTGACACCGGAAACTGACCCGACTATATATACGGCACTCAGTATTAATAAATCAAGCGACATTTATCATGTCTGTAACGAGCCCTATCATCTCGATCGATATCACTGAAAACGGACGTGTCAATTTACCTATCTTCCCTCCATCGGTGTCGTATAAATACCTTGATCAATATGAATATATTTGAGAATGCGATTTTCAATAAGTCCGTGATTGCCGAACGATTTAGACGAATGGAATGAAATCGAAATCACGATGGAAAGATTTGATCACGCTCGGCGAGGTCGGTGGGAAATAAAATCCTGGAAGGAAGGAAACTCCGCCATTGAAACAGTACGCGTTGATACTAATTATCCGGCTGATTAAAATGGAAAGTTAAGGAAACAACGTGGCCCGCCGCGGGCACTTATCCGCAGCTTTATGGAGCCAGCGCGTGGCTGTGCAACTTCAAAGCTGCAGTAACTTTTCTTTCATTGCGTTAAAACTTGGCGAACGCGGTGACCAGCTGGAGTGTATTACCGTGTTCCGTACGTTCCAGAAATCGTTCTTACCTTCTCTCGCCTATTTCTCGTGCTTCGGATGATTTATCTGCGATTCATAAAGCGGAGGATAATAATTCTGAACAATTAGCTGGCGCCGTGAAAAATTTATTACGTTTCGCGTTCGTGTTAATTTTTGATTTAATTTAATTTAACGTTATATTGCTATTTGTTTATTTTTTTATATCATCTGTAAAATGAGTTGTTTATGAATAATTTTAACAATTTTAATAAATATCATAAAAAGTTCAACTAAAACTAAAACAATTAGAATTTCATACTATTTTTTTATTTATTTTATTTATTTAAGTTTATTTTATTTATTTATTTTTATTTATTTAAGTTTCGTCTATTATCTTCGATTATATTAATAATTTTCAAATTCTAAATTTTTATCTAATTCTTTTCATCAATTAATATCATTTATTAAATTAAGAATATTCCCGTTTCATAGTCGAATGATTCATTATTGCTATGAAAATTGATTTCTATTGTCCTCAATTGTAAAATTCATTAACTTTTTATTCGACGCGATTCGAGAAACTATAGGGAACTCGTAACGAACGAGAAACTAAACAATCGACCCGGGAAACGAAGTGAAGATCACACGTGAAATCGCGTAACCCGAAGTTTCCCCTGTTTCCGTCGCGGATTTCAACTTCGTTTCAAAGCAAGTTTCCACGTAACTTTTCCCTCGCAGCAAGAATATACACCACTTGTTAGTCGATCAAGAGGCGAGAAATTATTTCCCGATATAATTTTCATTACCCCGTTGGTCAAACTCACTTTGCCAAATTAAATATCGTCAGCGTGTAAAACGAGTTGCAGTTGAATAAAATCACTACGCAGTAATTTATCAATTATCACTGATTATAATATTATTATTATCAATTAAGATTAATTATAATAATAATAATGTAATATTATCATTTGTAACATTATCATCATCATCAAATAATATCGTATTGCATTATTGTCAACTAACAGTAATATTAATACAAAAAGCAAGAGACAAGACAAAAAGAAATTATAAAAAAACATAATAAAAATTAAGGCTCACCACTCTGCGTAGGTTTGTTACAGGTGATTTTTGAATTAATTTATTGCACAAAAAAAAAACGTGCGTTTTTTCGTTGAAATCGAACTCCCACTCTGTAAACGTCTAACACATCCTTTCAAATGGCGTGAAAGTTTTCGAAAAAGTCTGACATTGAGAATTAAGAGAATAAAAGAGACCAAACTTGTCAATGAACGACGGATTCTAGATTTTCTTTTTGCAATTCCATCAAAGATACGAACATTTCTTCTGCTTAACATGAGGCAGAAACATAAGAAATATAGATCTATTTGTTTCAATTGTTATATAGTTTAAAATTACAACGACTTATACGTCGAATATCTGAACACTTAGTACTAAAGTTATTCGACTGTTCCAAGGACTGTTAAAGCAATTTGTTTATATTGTTTGGGAGAAAGCTGTATCTTTGAAATTTTGTTCGAGAAAGGGAGATCAGAATAAAAAAAAGAAAAAAATCCACTGGTGCTTCGTGAATTGTTGCAAAGGAAAATTTCTCAAAGATACGAGCCAGGTAAAAGATAAAAACAAGCGAAGAAAGAACGATGGAATAGAAAACGTGTGAAAGAAGTTCGTGTTAGGAGGAATGGAAGAAAATTAATGTTTCTTTTTAAAAAAAATTAGCATTCCACTACTCCGTTTATACGAAATCCATTTTTAATATTCGTTGCCATCGCTACGTTATTGAGGAATTTTCATTTTGCGTCAACTACCTTAACCGATACGTTACATCCTCGGCTATATATTTTACGAGCTGCATCGTTTTATCACCGTGGAAATGGTGGCTGCGAGTGAAACGTGGAAAAAAAAAAGAAAGAATCACGTGTAACAAAAATCAATGTGCGAAAAAAGCATCGTATAACAAGAGGCCGAGATATACGTACGAGGATTGTTCAGAAAGTAATATCCGTTTACACGCAGGTGCCATATTAAAAAATGGAACGCGTTCATAGAAGGTGAGCACAAATTTTTATTATGTTTAAATAACCAATTACGAAACGTACTGTGATTTGTCAAAAAAAAAAAATGCACGCTTTTTGGAACGTGTTGAACATGCTAGTACAAAGAGAAACTTTACACTGTCGCATTTGTAGAAGTATAGTTTCGAGCAATTGTGAAATTCGAAAGTGTTTTTGAGAGAAGTCGATGCATTTGGAAAACGCATCAATTATTATGAATCACATTAAATATTGAATGTTGCATAAAAGAATTGTACGATAATAAACTTTGGCTCGTTTTAAAGCTCGAGACCTCTACTTTTTAAACGTATATTATCGTTCATGTTAAGTGAATATATTTTTCTCCCCAAAAATACTAGTAAAAACGTAGGAAAATTTTTGCCACAACTGAATTTAGAGTAGATTTGAAGATTGAAACCTGCGATAACTTTCAACGATTTCCGAACGCTTGACGATATATTTTTTTTTTCACAAACATCATCAAACTTCAAATATTAGGCCTAGACAATGAAAATTCAAGGAATATTTTGTTACATTCGTTTTCGCCTAATAAATACATTTGAAGTTCAATAAATTGGCGAGGAACAAGCGTGTTCATGGATTCATCAGCCAGAATTTTTCTTGCAAATGTGCGAGAGAGAGGAGAATGTATAGCACGTACTGATCTTTGATGAGCAACATAAAATTTTCTTGCGCTTGCACTATCTTTTTTTTTTTTTTTTTTTTTAAGGAATGAAAGTGACTTTAATTTTTCGAATGGAACGCACGCATTTTTTTTTTTATATTACACGAAAGCAACGTCGATTTCGAGACGATTGCAACAATCTAGTAGAAGATCATACAAAATTAAGGAAGAAATAAAAACTTTCGCTTTATCTACTAATACACAGAATATTCCTAACATATATGAGATGTCAATCATAAAATGTATTCATAAAATATTCTTCTTTCATTTCTGGCATCTTTCTGACTCTCCATTTTATGGTAGATGGTTGGAATTGTCTTGCTCATCGCTTTTATTTTAATATAAAAAGTGTGCGATGTTCCATTTGAAAACGTTTTAAAATAGTGCAAATGTAAAAATGCATCGTTTCTTTCATTTCTTTTCACGTACGTTGTGTGACGTATAAGATAAATCGAAAGTTGCAAATAACAAGGAAAAATCTGAAACTGTATATAAGACAAGAAGTATTTATTAGAATCGAGCAAGTTTCTACTCATTCATCTCGTCTTTAATTGTGACTGTTTTGGAAAAAATGCATGAAGTTAAAGTCTTTTGAAATACATTGAAGTTGTTATATTTTGTTAAACTTTGATATTATTTCAGATTAGCCTCGTGTGTCTCTCTTAATACAATTACATCGTATTCCGTCCAACTTTCCTCAAATGCGAATAATGGCCAAGAATTCTCGTAGAAAACTTTTTTACTGTGTTCTGTAACTTTCGCGCGAGCTCAGAGAGAGAGAGAGAGAGAGAGAGAGAATTTTTTTACGACATTCTCAGAGCCAAAATAAATCCGAGCGAAACGACCGGATATTCGGTTTTATATTTTCATGGCAAGCCGCGGCTGGTCACAGGTCGCTGCTGCAATTTGTCTCTGATTATTTATCCTCTCTCACACGTTTTTATATTCCGTCCCGTGTATCGAAGTCGGCCGGAAGACACCGGCAGGGCAGTTTTACTGTGCCTCGTTAATGCACTCCGGCAGGATCTCACCCTAAAAGCTACGAGTAATCTTTATCGCCTTATCCGTGCCAGTATTTTATCTGCTCGACTTCCACGAAGATTATGCAAAACTTTTATACACGAGGCGGCAGAAAGAAATTCATTCGCTTCTCCAGGCTGAATCGGAACGATCCTCTCGATCTGTTTAATCCGTTCACGTTTGTCTCATCAATTCGAGCTACGATCGACAAATGACGGTTCGTGAGCTAGCTAACCAACGAACGGTGAAACTCGCGTACGTGCTCCATATTTCCAGTTTTTTCCCCCCCTATTTTTTTTCTCTTTTTTCCTTCTTTTTTTTCCAACTATCGACGCGATTTAACGACGAATTTCAGTTTTAACTGCTTGATTTTGAAAGAAGAGGGGGATATAATAAAAGAGAAACCGAGAGGGAAATTAAATGCAGGTAAATTTAACGTTCTTCATAGTCATAGAATGACCTTTAAAAATAACGTGTAAAAAGAAGTGTTGAAACTGTTGCCAGGAAAATATTGGAAATTTGAAATTTGAAAATTTTTCTAGTAATTACTTTTGGGCCGTTAAAAATTTATAGTACCTTTAAAATATGAAGTAGCGTTAATGCTATTCAAGTAGATAGTATTTGAACATTTTGACAAATCCATTTTTTGATCAAAAATTTATTCTAC